GGGGCATGATCAAGGTGGCCCATCATGTGGGTGTTACCTTACAAATACATCCTGCCTAGGAACACCCACTCCTGCAATTTGATATCCACCCACCAAAGTATAACTCCTCCCAAGCCCCCACCCACTACTTGCATGAGGACTGAGGGCTCTTGAGAGGAGCACTGAGCACCCCTTAAATTCATTGGATTTCAGTTCTTGCAATCATGGAGGTTCAGCATCATATGTGGGCGTTACCTTACATATACATCATGCCTAGGAACACCCAATTGGCACCCACCCATCAAGGCATCTGATATTTGCATAACTCCTCCCAAGGACCTGCCCACTGCTTGCATTGGGGCTGAGGGCTCTTGTTTTCAGGAAGCTATGTCCAGCACCCTCCCGCCCCTTTTCATTCATTGGATTTCTGTTCTTGCAATCACAGAAGTTCAGTATCACATGTGGGCGTTACCTTACATATATATCCTGCCTAGTAATGCAAACTCGCCCGGACTGGCAACCAACCATCAAGGCATTTGATATTTGCATAACTCCTTCCAAGAGGAGGCCCACTGCTAGCATTAGGCTGAGGACTCTTGTTTTCAGGCAGCTATGTCCAGCACCCTCCAGCCCCTTTCATTCACTGGGCTTCAGTTCTTGCAATCATGGAGGCTCAGCATCACATGTGGGCGTTACCTTGCATATACATCCTGCCCAGGAACGCCCACTCGCCCAAACTGGCAACCCCCCATCAAGGCGTTTGATATTTGCATAACTCCTTCCAAGAGCCAACCCACTGCTTGCATCAGGGCTGATGCACCCTGCTGGCCCTCCCACTAGCCATGACCTGACTGTATTGCGCAGAGGAGAACAGAGACTCACTGATGACATCACTGGATCTAAAATAAGGTATACAGTATAATAGAAAGGTTTTATTTAAATATATCGTCGGCTTGTGGACCAGGGAAGGCAAAACATGAGCAGATTAGACTTCAGCTTTCGATCCGTTTGAATGCAGAAGATGTAAATGCTCCTCATAGCCGAGTCCTAATATGAGATTTTATACAGCACCTCTCAGGGAACATCCGACCTCAGCCCTACTGAACATCCGACCTCAGCCCTACTGAACATCCGACCTCAGCCCTACTGAACATCCGACCTCAGCCCTACTGAACATCCGACCTCAGCCCTACTGAACATCCGACCTCACCCCTACTGAACATCTGACTTCAACCCTACTGAACATCTGACCTCAGCCCTACTGAACATCCGACCTCAGCCCTACTGAACATCCCACCTCAGCCCTAGTGAACATCCCACCTCAGCCCTACTGAACATCCCACCTCAGCCCTACTGAACATCCGACCTCAACCCTACTGAACATCTGACCTCAACCCTACTGAACATCTGACCTCAACCCTACTGAACATCTCTGGGATGAACTGGAACACTGATTGTGGGCCAGGTCTTCTACTCCAACATCAGTACCTGACCTCACAAATTATCTTTTGGCTGAATGGACACACGTTCTTTCTCCAAAAACTCTCCAGAATCTTCATACATACAAAGCCAGCTCCATAAAGACGTGGTTGGACCAGTTTGGTGTGGAGGAACTCGAGTGTCTTGTACAGAGCCCTGACCTAAACCCTACTGAACACCTTTGGGATGAATTGGAATGCCAATTGTGAGCCGAATCTTCTCATCCAACATCAGTACCTGACCTCACAAATTCCCACAGACACCCACCAAAATCTTGTGGAAAGCCTTCTCAAAGGAGTGGGAACTGTTATAGGCACAAAGAGAAGACCAGCTCCATATTATAGGCCATGGTTTTGGAATGGGATGTCCAACACAGTCAAATAAATAAAATAATAAATACAAAATAATAAAAGTAATAATAATACAAATAATATGAATACAAGTAATAAAAATACAAGTAACAATAATAATAGCAAATGTAAAAACAAAAACAAAAAACATATACACACTAGGGCTGTGGAAATTAAAGATTAATTTCTCGATTAATCGTTAAACTTTTTGATGGATTCAAATTATTTTGATCGCTAATGAAAACACTCACCTCTCCGCCGGCTTCTGGGAGTCCTGTCAGCGATCCGGTGAAGTCACGGACATCGACGTCAACTGACACCTCCCCCCTTCCCCAAGTGGCTCCGTCGGCTAACAAAGGGAAGGGGGAGGAGTTCGGTGACGTCGATGTCCGTGACATCGACGTCACCTTCGTTAGCCGACAGAGCCACTTGGGCCGGTGAGTTTGCCCAAGAAACTTTCTGCACGAGCGCCAGCCAAGGTTTGGCCTATACACATACAGCACAGCAATTAAGTAATAAAATGAACTAGGATCACACTAATCCAGCACGTTATTAATCTGAGTTGCCCCACTCAAGCGGCGGCCATATTGAGTGGGGCACGTGAGAATTAGTTCATTTTATTACTTCATTGCTGTGCTGTATGTGTATAGGCCAATGTACAGGCCAATGTAGTCGGATCTGTGTGTGCGTTATAATTAATCAAAATTAATCGATTCATTAAAATAATTTCGATTAATCGAACACGAAAATTTTAATCATTACCAGCCCTAATACACACGCTTTAGATAAATGTAGATCTACACTCAGACCAGCTCTATATTATAGGCCATGGTTTTGGAATGGGATGTCCAACACAGCCAAATAAAATAATAATAAAATACAAAATAATAATAAAAGTAATAATACAAATAATAATAATAA